TTTATTCGTTCCATAAGCCTCCTTATATACACTTAGCCTGTTTATTTACATTACCAGATATTATTAAGGCTGATACCGCCAGTCTCCGGTCTTTATCTTATATATATATATATATATATATATATATATATATATATATATATATATATATATATATATATATATATATAATACTAAATATATATATATATTTATGTATGTATATATATATATGTATGTTAATAATTATAATAATAAAAAGAAGGAATACCATTTTCCCTGAAGTCGAGAAGCCTTTTGTTGAACATCGGCAAATACTTTGAGTTCCTTGTGAATGCAAGTCCGTATCCAGTCTTAGCGTACCAGGATCCAACAGTGAGGAGTCGGCAGTCTTCGTCTTGAGCCACAAGATAGTCCAGCACGGTACCGTCATAAATGAAAGCGTCTAGGTCACTACAAAAGAAGTATAATAACAGTTATTGTAAAAAAAGTTGACTGTTTTTATTTAAATTTTCAATCCATCGTTGTTTTTGTTTTTCCACTTACTTGGAAGGTCTCCACAATAAACTAGATTTAATTTTAATATATATATATATGTATCCCGCCTTGAGGTCCAACGTGCTAAACACCACGGCCCCACTCAACCTATCAAGTATATCTTCGAATCTAGGGATCGGGTACTTTTCGTCTACCGTGTTGTCGTTCAACCTACGATAGTCCACTACCACTCTGTATTTTTCCTTATTATCCCCTGGCGCTGCCTTCTTTTTCACTGCCCACAGGGGACTATTAAATGGCGAGGTGCTATCGACTATGATCCCTTGCTCTTTCAGGCTTTCCAATTCCTCCCGAATATGTTGCCTCATCGCCTGCGGGTATCTCCTTTCCTTTACGTAGGTCACCCTATCTTGCTTCAGTGGAACTTCGTGTACCGTCTTCCCTGTTACCCCCAATACCTCGCCCTCCCTGAAGAAAATATCTACGAACTCCGCTTGTAACGCCTTTCTCCAGTCCTCCACCCTGTTCACCGCTCCTATCCGCACCCTTCTTTCTCTCGCGACCCCTATACATCCAAATTTCCTCTTTCCCAGCCTGATACTCCAAGCTCCTCTACGGTTTCTAATGCTTACCCCTACCTGTCCTAACAGATCACACCCTATTATGACTTGGTACTCCCGCGCCATGCTCTCTACCACATGCACCCTTAGCTCCCCCTTCTTCCCTGCCCACCGGTCAAGCGTAATTGACGCTTCCCCTTCTACTTTACAGGGACCACCCAGAGTGATTAGCTGGCAGCCACAGTTTTGTATCCGGAGTACCCTCTCGCTCCCGCACACTCTCCCCAACGCCCCCCGAGTCAAGATAGTACTCGAGCTCCCTGTGTCCACGAGACACTTCACTCCCCCATCTACTTCAATAATCGGCAACCAGCATGGCTTACCTCTAATATTGTTGCAGGTTGCTGTGCGGTCGCCTCTCTGCTGACACCCTTCTCAGATGCCACCTCGCTTCCTCCTTACCGCCGTCGCTCGTCGTTGCTCGCTCCGTTGGCTGCTCCTGCCTCCTTCGCCTCCACTGCTGGCTGGCTCGTCAGTCTCCGTTCCCGACGTCCCCGACTCCTCGGTTGCCTCTTCCGAAGATCCGTCTCTCTGCTGCATCCTAGCTCGTTTTTTCAACTTTTGAGCGTTCACCTCCATTGGCTCGTCTAGAGGTCTCTCCCTCCTGCGAAACATGTACGGGCACTGTCTGGCAATATGCCCTTCAGTCCCGCACTCGAAACATCTAGTGCGCGGACATTGTGCTACCAAATGTCCCGGTTTCCCGCACCCGTGACATTTTCGGTCTTCCCTCCGGGGTCCATTCCTAGGCCTGGACTGTCCGGATCTTCTCTCGCCCGTCGTGGCTTTCTCTCCGTTCGGGTGTTTCATTTCCCTCTTCCTCCACCCTATCTGGGCTGTCCGGGGTCGTCTGTCACTCACTCGGGTCCACCCTGGTTCTTCTACTTCCATCCGCGTCTCTTCCTCTCTTGCACTCAGATCTATCATTTCTTGGGCACACTCGAGGAACGATCGCTCTCTAGGCAGTCCGTCCCTTCTCCCAGTCTCCTTAGCTAACTGAACCTTGAGTATTGTCGAAAGGAATTCCATCCTAGCCTCGACCTCTCCCACACTCATGGTTTCACGCATTTTCTCAGTTATGCGGTTGTACTTCGCCACTAGTACCCCCGCATACTGTCCTCTTGTTTGGCGTTGGGACCGACACTCCCTAAACATTTGGAAGATATCTTCTTCCGGCGTCCATCGGCCCCCTCCGAAAGCCTTCTTCAACCGCTCCTTAATCACTGGCCATGGTGTCTCCTCGTCCGCTTGGATTTGGTTGAGGATGTTCCTCCTCACTCGGCACACGAGAGCTGCCTTCAGTGCTTCTGCGTCTCCCAAGTTCACGAGGTCCTCCGCCACCTTTGCTTCGATTCTTGATATGAGGCGGTCTCCGCCTTTCAGGAAGTGATTAAGTTCACCTATCTCGCCCCCGAATCGCTCCAGGTCTGCGATTGCTCTCCGTAGATCCTGCGTGGTTGCTGCCCTTATCTTCATCCACTCCAATGCATTGGCATGCGCCTCTGCCAATGTGTCCCTAGGTAAGGGAGGGATCTCTTGTATCTGCGGTACTTGCGGTATCTGAGGTATCTGCGGAATCTGCGGAACCTGAGGGGCGATCTGAGGAATCTGCGCTATCGGCATTTCCTGAGGTTGCGGCATTTCAGGTGCGTTCAACACTCCTGGTCGAATTATGCCCTCTGTCGGCATCTCGTCTTTTCCTTATGACTAGGAGAAGAGAAAAAAAAATTAAAATAAAGACAGAAAAAAAAATTTTACTTCCGTGTTCTCCTGACGTTCTCCCGGGTTTCGGCACCAGTTAAGCGTCTCCGGGCTTGAAAGATAAAAAAAAAGAAGGAAAGAGGAACGAGAAACAATACTCACGACTTCTGAATAAACACTGCTTTATTCGTCCAATAATCTGCCTTATATACAATTGCTATGTTTATTTACATTACAAGATGGTATTAAGGCTGATATCGCCAGTCTCCGGTCTTTATCTTATATATATATATATATATATATATATCTTTATATTTTATAAAATCTTTATATTTTCCTGTTGGATATATATATATATATATATATATATATATATATATATATATATATATATATATATATATTTATCCAAACAGGAAAATATAAAGATTTTCAATAAAGTATAATGTCGATAAAATATAAAGATACAAATCTTTATATTTTCCTATTGGTATAAATTATTTTATTAATCTTTGTTTCTCTTTTATAATGAAAAATTCAAGAAGTGAATATAAAAATAAAGATAAATAATGAAACAAAATATTAAGACTAATATAATATTTCACACAATTAGGGTAATAATTCAAGATTAAAATGTTCCTACATAGTGTTAGCATATTAATGTTAGCAAATGAATTTTAAATTGTGAAGTATATAACAAGTTTAGGATAGATTACACACACATCTATATCTATATATTGTAATTATGATAGTTAAATATTCTTGAGACGAAAAAGGTACTTGAAACGTTGAATATGTAAGTAACAGATACGATTTTTTAAAGAATGTACCTCAGGACTAAGCTGTACAGCATGTTTTCGCATACTTTCAAGAAACTACTAAATAAAAACTCCTTCCTATATAGTGAGCGCATTCTTTGAGTATGAAAAAAAAAACTTGTTTCATGATTGCACGTCCTGATAATTTCTATAAAACTTGAGGGTTACTTAGATTGGGGTTTGCTCTCTAAACTTAGGGGAGAATTATGCTTATTTCTGTTTTTATTTATTAAAGTTCTTTAAATAAATAAATCTTGAGTAAATTCTTATTAATTAGCCTTTTCATATTTTTTGGTTATGCTTTTGCTGACGCTAATAGGAAAACGATCAACATTTAGAATAAATCAACATTTATTTATTTATGAGATAAATTTAAATAACTTTACCCCTAAAACTTAATGACTAACCTTACACTTATTAACTAATTAATTTTAGTGTTCAATATACTATATTTTTTTAGTTTGTTTTTTCTCTTTAATCCAAAGTATGTTCGAAAAAAAAAATGTTTTGACTTAGTGAATTAGAAAAAAATGGAAAAATGACATAATAGGAATGCGAAAGTATAGCACCCAGAAGAACCTCTTCCTGGTCTATTTTACTATATCTAATGCACTATGTTTATTTTATATTTTATTTTGATACCTTCTTTTAAAGTCTTAATTTCACAGACAGAGTTCAGACTTACATTTAGCCGTCTACAGCAGTGATTGGTACAAGGCCGGTCCAAAATTCAGAAAGGCCGCGGAGTTGATGATGATGAGGGCAAGGAAAGGTGAGACACTCACAGCCATCGGGATGTATCCAGTCAATAGGGAAACGCTGATGACAGTAAGAATTAAATAATATTAGATTATTAAACACTTTATTCAGAAATATTACAATTTGTCACAGTTAAGGACACTTATAATAGAGTTCAGAGAATACATTCATACCGTATATAAATAATATTTTAAAAAAAATATTGAGAATTATTACAATTTATCACAATTAAATACATTTATAATAGTGTTTGTGAGAGGTGTAGCTCAGTGGTAGGATACTGAGCTTCCAATGCTAAAGGTCCCAAACTTCGAATCCTTGCTCATCGTAGAAAAATTATTTTTTCTGTTTCATTCGCCGTGGAGCAACCCTGGGTAGGTAGACCCTCCTTTGGGCATACCCAGCCTCTACAGAGTTAGTAAAATTGATTAATTAATTAAAGAGAAAAACCGGGTGGTTGAGCGTGATCTCGGTCAAATCACCTTCTGGCACAACCGTAGACCAAGGAACAGTGCTTTCTCTAAATAGTACTGAGACCCTTCATGAGTTGTACTGGTACAGTTTTATTTTATTTTTTTTATAATAATGTTCAGAGAGCACATTAACATTCTTTTTAAAATAAATAAAAATAAATAGTACACAAATAATAATATTAAAAGTAAATCTTTATAAGAAATTCAAAATAATTATAATCCAAGCAGTGTAACTCGGCAGCATTACTGTTATATTAAGGACCAGTAGAGGCTGAGCAGAGGCGCAATAATCACACATACAAGGCTTGAGTGGAGGATCTGGCCAAAACTCTAATATATGCTTATTCACAAAAGATCTCTGGGCCACTGCCGCTTCAACCTTCAAGGTGAGTTGTAGGGATTGGTAGAATTGGACGGGGATTCTGTAAGAAGATTTGTAAGGTTCTGCAGAAATTTTGAGTATTTTCTTCGGGATAAGGTTTAGGGCAGTGAGTTATTAAGATCATGGTGCAGGGTTTTGTTGGTTACATAGAATGGAGCATCAACTTCTGTTCGAAGGAATTTAGATTGAAATGACTGG